TATCCCACACCTTGCCTATTTGGGGGATTGCGGGCTCCTTGAGGCTGCGGCCTCTGTTCTCTGACAAACCTCGGCTGTTCAGCTCGCTGTACATACTCATTCAGCATTCCCTTCTAAGCTAAACTTTCCAGTTTGGACTTTAAACTGTTACACTGCTCTGTAGTATGGCCGTGATCCTGGTGAAAATCACAATATCTGGTATGGTCTCAACTAGCAGCAGCAGTTCGCATTGGACCAGGACGTCTCAAGTCCATCTTATTTTTGATCTGCATAAAAATTTGTGACCTCAGCAAATTAAATGGAGTCCAATTAACTGGAGGTTTACCTGCAGATTGTTGTGGAGGCGTGGAGTTCGGCCTTCCGAATCTCGGTGGGGAGGTCAACACTGGACCTCGGTTCTGCGCCATTCTCATCCTTTTTCGGTTCGGGTTGTCATCTCTCCATTCTGGGTTCTGGTTCTTAGAGGAAGGTGGATTTTGCGCTAGGGCATATTCTTCAGCAGTTATGAGTTTCAGAGATCTATCGTTCACCTCGCTAAAGGTGGTGGCAGCATGTTTGATCAAACTGTCTCTGAACCTATCATGCTTGAGACCAGAGATTACAGCTGCAATACCCACAGCTTGGTCGAAGGAACTAACCTCCAACACCGCATCATTAAACCTGCTCATGTAGTTCTTCAGAGACTCTCCATCCCTCTGTTTAACTCGCATCAATTCAGTAGTAGTGTCACGCCCCAAAACCCAAATCCGGAGACGCGACAGACGCCGTGCACTCGTGAGACGAGTCCCACGAATGCACAAGGCTCAAAACTTATCCAATTCATAATTTGATACCACCAAATCTCAAGATGAAATTTTTACAATTTGCTCTGATATCATAAAATCTCTAAATACACTCTAGCTTACAGAATCATAATCTATATCTAAAATCTATATCAAATTCCAGGTGACTAGCCTTCTAACTCGTCACTCCCCTCGGTTTCCCCATCCTCAGTTTCGCTTCCTGAAATGGTGGACAAGGAAAACTATGAGATAACTCAATAAGTAATTATGGATAGCCCTTGGGTAAAACTTTTAGCATGCCAGATAAACCATGTAAGTATAACAGAACTTTCACTGATAAACCGTTAATGCGGAAATCAAATTCGGTTCAATAGCAAAACGTTCAATGACAAAATCGTCAATGCAAAATCAGATTCAGTTCAATAACAAAACGTTTCCTGACAAACCATTAATGCAAAGTCCCATTCAGTTCAATAACAGTGTTTCATGACAAACCGTTCATGCAGAATAAATCTCATAAGTAGTCTCATCTATAAGTCATGGCTAGTGTTATAACAACCCACTGGCAGGCGACAGAATGAACCGGTCATATCAGTAAACATGTCGACATGTGCTAGCGTTACACCCACTAGCGGGGATCAGGGATGCTACACACCCACTAGCGGGGATCAGGAGTGCTAGTGCTACACCCACTAACGGGGATCAGGGATGCTACACGCCCACTAGCGGGGATCGGAATTCATGACTACATCAGAGACAAAACCATGCAAGATTCACAATCAAAATCCGTAATTCACAATCGAAGTCCCAAATTCACGATCGAAATCCATAATTTCAGAAATAACCAGAACATTCCATGTGGGCATGGATTTAACAGAAAATCATAATTTACAAAACTCTCAGTTAATCAAAACAGTTCAATCAGTTCCAAATAGGCATGCTCCACTCAATTTCAAACCAATCATGCTCGGCACAAT